ATATCCCTACCGTCAGGAAACTCTGCCCAGGAGTCGCTCTCAGGCCTAGGTGCTGAGTGCAGAGTGCCTGATAGAGATAGTAGACCCCTGGCAAAAGGGGACCCAGAGCTGCCTAGAGACGTTTGAGGAGAGACCGGAGTCAGAGGCGTTCGAGAGAGAACTGAGGGAGTAGCCGGGGGTACCCGGTGCTGACTCCTTCTCAATTCTGCAGTCTCCGCCTTGCTCAGGCAGACCACTCCCCTGAGTGGCAGCAGCATGTAAAAACACATTAGCTCTCCCCTCAGGTGGCACTGCCCCACCTTGTGGTGCCTAAGCCTGACAGCTGAGGGCAGAGTGACTAGGTTAACAATTTCAGGAGATAGACACAGACAGTAGATTCCTGGAAGTCTCAAACAGACTGCCAAATGTCAGACAGCGTCAACAACTGATCTTATCAGATGCAGATCCAGAAAGAAAAAGAGAAAAAAAAAGACCCACCTACTACTATAGAATTTCAAACCACAAAGTCAGGAAATTGAAACAGATCAATTTAAGAAGCAGAAGGAAAAAAAAGAGAAGAGTCTCATAAACAATGGGAAGAAAAAGAAACACCCACCAAAGGAGGGGAAAGGGAATGGAAGGATCAAGTCAGGGAACATGTATAAAAGACCCATGGACAAAGCCAACATAGGGAAGGACTAGTGGGGGGAGGTAGGGGAATCGACAGGGGAAAGTGGTGGGGGTAAGGTGGAGACAAATGTATTTGAACAAGAAATAATAATTTTAAAAACCAACATATAATTTAAATGTTGAATGTACAACAACTAACATGAAAAATATACTAGAGTGGTATAATAGCAGACTTTGAGCTGACCAAAGAAATATTAAAAAAATAAGAATGTGAAAATATGAACAGAGCCACAGAGGTTTGTGGGACTCAAAGAAGTGTACCTATATATATATATATATATATATATATATATATATATATATATATATAATGGTAGTTTCAGAAAAAGAAGCAATAAAAAGTGGCAGAAAAATATTTTAAAATAATGACCAAAACTTTTGCAAATTTTACAGGAAAACATTTATCTGCATATAGAAGAAGATTAGCAAATTTTTGTACAAAAAATTCAAAGAGATAAACACCTAGACACACCATATATGTCTTTAAAAGTGTCACAAGAAAGAGAGGCTCTTGGAAGCTGCAAAAGAGAAGTAACTCATTATGTAAAGGTTTCTCAATAAAATTAACAAGTTATTTTTCATCACATACAATTCAGGGCAGAAGGTGTTGGGAGAAAATATTCAAGGAGCTGAAAATAAGACTGTGAAAGAGAAATTCTATATCAAGCAAAGCTATTCTTCAAAAATAAAGGGGATATGAAGTTATTCCTAGATAAACAAAAACTAATTAGACTTGCCATATAAGAAATTTTATAAAAGGATTCCATTAGCCTGAAAGAAAGGGGTACTACAGGGTAATATCAATATATATGAAAAATAAAGAGCACTAATAAAGGAAATACATATATAAATTAAAAGGATAGTATAGACTTATAACATCAGAGGAATGGTAGTGTGAGAGATCCCGTTGGTCTCTTCCCTTGATGTTTCAACAATTGGAATAGGTATAACTAAGCAAAGGATTTTCTACTTGATACATAAACACACCTGAGAAATTCTCACACCAGAGAAGTGAGAAGAAAGAAGGGCTAAGACAAGCCATGGATACAGGCTTGCAGTTAGGAACTCATGGGTGGTCTTGTCCTGGAGACAAGAAAAATCCTGTTTTGGCTGATGCTCCCTTCAGCTGGGAGGAGCAAAAAGATTTGGTGGAATATTTTGCAGGAGTGAGCACTATGAGCTGTGGCTGAACCAGAGACCTGGGCAAGGACACAGCACAGGGGTGTGACCAAGGTTTTCAGTTGTTGGACAGTCGACATTCCGGACAGAGAAACAAAGCCAAAGACCATTACTGCCCATAGTCTCCCAGAGCTTGTCTCCCCTTGCCCTTCGTTGCAAAACATGTTATCTGCAAACTCAAGAACTGGTATTATACAATCATTTTTATCCTTGAGCAAAGTGATTTGGCTACTCTGTGACAAATCCAGTGTTCTGGACAGAAGGGGGACACTGCAGAGGTCTGAGGTGGCTGTTACTAGAAGGGCAAATCAACGAAGAAGCTAATCGTTTCCTCCAGCTCACCCCATCTCAATGCATTGCTGCTACACTGGTGGCAGGGTCTTGCTCAGAAGGCAGCAATGGGATTTCAGAGCTTAACAATAACAACAACATCACACAGCAAAACAAAACAAAAAACTTGTGATTCAGTGCCACCTACTGGAAAATAATAGAAATACATCTTGGTATTAATCTGCTAGGGAAGAGCCATTCATACATAAGTGCCTAGACAGAGAAGAAAACTATCAAAATATTATAAATAACTAAGGTAGGGAGGCAGCTGAGAAAAAAATAAAAAAAATCTCCAAAAAACAAACTTGAAGACATGGAAATATGTGATATAAATGACAGAGAATTCAAGATTGCAGTTCTGAAAATACTCAGAGATGTGAAAAAGTACAGACAGGAAATTCAATGCGCTCAACCAACAAACCAACAAACAAAATGAGTACTTTCTCAAAGAGAATGAAACTTTAAAAAAGAACCAAACAGAAATTATGGAGATTAAGAATATAATAAAAGATATCAAGAATGAGCTAACAAGCATAGGAGATAGAGCAGACTGGATGGAAGCAAAGATTAGTGATATCAAAGATAAAAATATAGAAATGACACAGAGGGAAGAAGAGAGATACTTTAATATTAAAAAACTGAAAGAACTTAATAAGAAATATCTGACTCCATCAGAATGGACAATATAAAAATAATAGGCACAACAGAAGAAAAAGAGAGGAAGAGAATGGAGAGCCTATTCAAACAAATAGTTATGAGAATTTCCAAAACCTATGGAAAGAGCTAGATCCTCAAATCCAAGAAGCAAACAGAAGACCTACTTACCACAATCAAAGAAGCCTTCTCCAAGACACATTGTATTGAAATAATAAAAAATTAATGAAAAAGAATTATCAAAGTAGCCGGAGGAAAGACGAAAGCAACTTACAAAGAAAAGCCCATTCAGTTATCATTGGACTTCTCAGCAGAAACTCTACAGGCTGGAAGAGAGTGGAACCAAATATTCAAACTACTGAAGGAGAGAACTTACCAGCCAAGAATAATACATCCCGCAATATTATTCTTTAAATATGAAGGAGAAATAAAGACTTTTCCAGACATACAGAAGCTGAGGAAATTTATAATCAGAAGACAACCATTTCAAGAAACACTCAAGGGGGTTATTCTACCTGAAAAAAAGAGCAGAAGGTCACAGTACTATGAGTAAGATCACCAAAAAAAAACAACAACAAAAAAAAAAACAAAAAAAACCCCCAAAAAACTCTTAGCACATAAACAAGGATAATTTGTGACAACAATGAACAAGAATATTATGCTAAGTGAAATAAGCCAGTTGGTTAAAGACAACTACCATATGATCTCACCTATAAGTGGACTCTATTCAACAAAATTAATGAGCAAAATAAACCACAGGCATGGAAACATGGAGCAGACTGAAAGTGAACAGATGGGATAGAGAAGGCAGACAATGGTGTATATAAGGGGAAGAGACTAGACAAAGAACATGTATGAATGACTCATAGACATTAACAACAGAGTGAGAATTGACTGTGGGAGTGGGGGGGTGGGATGGGTAGAGATGGGCAAAGGGGGAAAAAATTGAGACAACTGCAATAAAATAAACATGATTTTAAAAAATAAATTAAAAAAGGAATAAACAATTGATACCAATTCTCACAAAAATAGAAGAGGAAGAAACATTTACCAATTGATTTTATGAGGCCAGTAGTACCATGATGCCAACACCTGATGAGAACATCACAATGAAGGATACTAAATACCAATATTTCTTAGGAATATAAATACAAAACTCTTTAACAAAATACTAAGAAAGTGAACCCAGCAACATATAAAAAGTATTATATACCATGACCAGTTGGGACTTATCCCAGGAATGTAAGGTTAGTATAATATACAAAAATCAATAAATATATTCCACGGTATTAACAGAAGAAAAGTCAAAAGCCACATGAAAATCTCTTTAGAGGCAGAAAAAACATTTGACAGTAATGAACAATCAACATACTTTTGTGATAAAAATCAACAAACTAGGAATAGAATGAAACTTAACCTGACATTTGGCATATATGGAAACAAATAAACCATGTCTAACATCACATTTAATGGTGAAAGGTTGAATGCTTTCTCTCTAAGGTTAGGAATGGGACAAGGAATTTCATTTTTGCAACTCTTATTTGACAATATGCTCAAAGTTCTAACCATAGCAATTAATTAAGCAGGAAATTTTTTTTAAAAAGGCATCTAGATTATAGAGAAATCCATAAAACTATATGTATTCATAGATGGCATGATCTTGCATGAAGAAAATCATAAGAAATTCATAAACAAAATAATGTTTAGAACTAATAAAATCAGCAAATTTGCATGATTTAAGATCAATATACAAATTAATTGTATTTTAATGTATTAACAATGAACATTTGGAAAATGAAATTAAGAATATTCCACTTACAACAGCATTAATATGAATAAAATACTTAGGACTTAATTTAATAAACCTAAAGTAATATATACTAAAATATCTGTAACTGAGAAAAGTTACAGATCTAAATAAAAATGAATTTATTCCCTGTCCATAGAACAGAAAACAATATTGTTAAGCTGGCAAAGGTTCCCAAATTTATCCACAGGTTTAATGTAATGTCTATCAGATTCCAGTTGGCTTTTATAGAAATTGATAAACATACAAAAATTCATGTGGAATTTCAGGAGGCCCAGAATACCCCAAAACATGTAGAAAAAGAACAAAGTTTGAGAACTCATTCTTCTCTATTTTAAAATTTACTAAAAGTCAAAATATTGCTTGCTTTGGCAACACACATACTAAAATTGGAACAATACAGAGAAGATTAGCATGGCCCCTGAGCAAGGATGAAACAAATTCATGTAGCATTCCATATTTTTTCAGGGAGCGTATGGGCAGCAACCAATTGATGTTTCTCTCTCACATTGATGTTTCTCTCTCTCTCTTTCTCTCTCAAAGGAATGAAAAAAATGTCCTCTGGTAAGGATTAAAAAAAGTTATAAAAAATTCAAAATAAAACAGTATGGTATTGAAAAGGGATGCGCATATAAATCAATAAAATAGAGCTGAGAGTCCAGAAATACAGTGAAACCATGTGCCTATGGTAAGTTGATTTTTGCCAAGGGTGTCAAGACCATTTAGTGTGGACAGAATTGTCTTTTCAATAAATGGTGCTGGGACAATGGGATAGACACATGCAAATTTTTATTTTATTTATTTAATTTTTTATTTTATAATTAAAGTTGATATTCAATATTACTGTATATTAGTTTCAGGTCTTCAGTGTAATAGTTAGACATTTAAATAACTTATTAAGTGATTCCCTGATAATTCTAGTCCCTACCTGGCACCACATTTATTATATTAATTACTATATCTCCTATGGTGAACTTTACATCCCCATGACTATTTTGTAACTACCAATTTACAATTCTTAATCTCTTCATCTTTTTCAACCAGGCTCCTAAAACCCATCACATCTGGCAAACATCAGTCTGTTCTCTGCACCTATGAGTCTCTTTCTGATCTGTTCATTAATTTTGTTCTTTAAATTCCACATACAAGTGAAATCATATGGAATTTGTCTTTTTCTGACTTATTTCTCTTGGCATAATACCCTCTAGGTCCATCCATGCAGTCACAAATGATAAGATTTCATTTTTTTTATGGCCAAGCAATATTCCATTGTGTATATGTACCATTCTAATTTATCCACTCATCTGTTGATGGGCACCTGGTGTGCTTCTATATCTTAGCTATTGCAAATAATGTTGTGATGAACATGGGGGTGCACATATCTTTTTGAATTAGTGTTTTGGATTTCTTTGTATAAATATTCAAAAGTGAAATTGCTGGGTCATTAGGTAGTACCATTTTTAATTTTTTGAGGAATCGCCATGCTGTTTTCCATAGTGGCTGTACTGATTTGCAATTTTACCAAGAGTGTACAAGGGTTCCCTTTCCTTTACATCCTCTCTGACACTTATTGTTTGTTGATTTATTGATGCTAGATATTCTGATATGTGTAAGGTGATATCTCTTTGTGGTTTTAATTTGCATTTCTCTGATGACTAGTGATGTTGAGCTTCTTTTCATGGGTCTATTGACCATCTCTATGCCCTCTTTGGAGAAGTGTCTATTAAGGTCCTCTGCCCACTTTTTAATTGTGTTGTTTGTTTGGGTTTTTTTTGGGGGGTGTTGATTTGTCTGAATTCCTTGTAAATTTTGGATAGTAGCCCTTTATTGTATACATCATTGCCCATTCAATAGGTTGGCTTTTTGTTTTGTAGGTGGTTTCTTTTGTGACACATGCAAAATTTTAAAATTTAACTCAAAATAATAAAAAATTTAAATATAAGATCTAAAACCATAAAATTTTTAGAATAAAAAAATAGAGGTAAATCCACATAGCCTCAGATTTAGCAAATAATTATTGTATAAGCAAGAGGTGAAACAGATAAATTAGACTTTGTTAAAGTTGAAAACTTTTATGCTCCAAAGGGTGCTACTGAGAAAATGAAAAGATAACCCATAGAATGGAAGAAAATATTTGAATATCACATATTTGATAAGGAATTTTTTGTCTGGAGTATGAAGAACTCTTATGACTCAACAATAAAAAGGTAAACAACCCAATTAAAAATGGGTGAAGAACTTAAATAGACATTTCTACAAAGAAGATATACAAATGGCCAATAAGCACATGAACAGAAGCTCAATGTCATTAGTCATTAGGCAAATGCAAACCAAACAGCAATGAAATACTACTTTGCACTCACTATGATGACTATAATCTAAATATCAGACAGTAACAAATGTTGATGAGGAATTAGAGAATTCAGAATCTTCATACATGGCTGTAAGGAATGTAAAATGGAACAGCCACTTTGGAAAACAGTCTGACAGCTCTTCCAATAGTGAAAAAATAAGAATTATCATATGATCTAGCGATTCCAGGTCTAATTATGTAACAGGGAATTGAAAATGTGTTCCTTCAAAAACTTGTATGTGAACATTAATAAAAGCAGTATTCATCATAGCCAAAAGGTGGAAACCACCTACATGTCTATCAAGTGATGTGTTGATAAACAAAATATGGTTTTATCCATTCTATAAATATCACTTGGCCATAAAAAAATGAAGTATTGATACATGCAACAACTTTAGATGAACCTTGAAAACATTATGCTAAATGGAAGATGTAAGGCAAAAACGGACCACATAATATTTGATACCATTTTTATGAAATGCTCATAACAGGCAAGTATATAGAGCAATAAAGTAGATTAGTGGTTATTTATGGTTGAGAAAGATGAGGGACCTGGCAAATGACAGCTAATGGTATGTGGTGGCTTTTTTAGGGTAAAGAAAGTGTTCTAAAATTTTCTATAGTGATGGTTGCATATATCTGTGAATATAAAAAAAAACAACGATTAAATACTTAAGTGGGCAATTTGTATAAATACCACATACAAATTATATCTCAATAAAGCAGTTTTAAGATACGAGTTGACTAGAGATATTAAAGATATAAAAAGTAACCAAATTAAACTTCTTTTAAAAAATTACTTTTCAATTACAGTTTACATTCAATATTATTTTGTATTAGTTTCAGGTACACAGCATAGTGGTTAGACAATCATATACTTTACAGTGCCCCAACTCCCCTCCCCTCTAGCAACCATCAGCCTGTTCTCTATGAGCCTGTTTCTGTTTTATTTGTTTGTTTATATTGTTCTTAAATTATAAGTGAAATCATATTATAATCATATAATTCACTTTAGATTATAAGTGAAATCATATTATATTTGTCTTTCTCAGACTTATCTCACTGAGTATAATACTCTCTAGGTCTATCAATGCTGTTGCAAATGGTAACGTAAGATTTTGTTCTTTTATATGGCTAATATTCCATTGTATATATGTACCACTGCTTTTTTATTCACTTGCCTATTGATGGGAGCTTGGGATGTTTGCATAGCTTGGTTATTGCAAATAACACTGCAAAGAACATAAGAGTGCATATATTCTTTTGAATTGGTGTATAGGGTTTCTTTGGATATATACCCAGAATTGGGATTGCTAGGTCATAAGGCAGTTCCATTTTTTTTTTTTTTTTGAGAAACCTTCATGCTGTTCTCCATAGTGGATACATCAATCTGCATTCTTACCAACAGTGTATAAGGGTTCCCTATCCTCCACATCCAGGCCAACTCTGTTGATTTATTGGCAATAGCCATACTGTGAGGTGATATCTCATTGAGGCTTTAATTTACATTTCTCTGATGGTTAGTGACATTGAGCATCTTTTCATATATCTATTGGCAACCTGTATGTTCTCTTTGGAGGTACATGTATTTGGGTCTTTTCCTCATTTTTAAAATTGAATTGTTTGTTTTTTGGGTGTTAAATTGTATGAGTTCTTTATAAATTTTGGATATTAACCCATTATCAGATGTATCACTGGCAAACATGTTCACCCGTTCAGTAGGTTGTCTTTTGGCTTTGTTGATGGTTTCCTTTGTTGTGCAAGAACTTTTTATTTGAATGTAGTCTTATTTTTTTATTTTTTCATTTTTTTCCTTTTCCTGAGGACCTATATCAGAAAAATATTACTAAGAGAAATGTTCTAGATTTCACTGCCTATGTTTTCTTCTAGGAATTTTATTGTTTCAAATCTTAGATTTAAGTCTTTAATTCATTTTGTTTATTCTTGTATATACTATAAGAAGATGGTCTAGTTTCTCTCTCTCTCTCTTTTTTTTTACATATATCTTTCCAATTTTCCCAAGGCCATTTATTGGATAGACTATCTTTATCCCATTGTATATTCTTGCCCCCATTGTCAACTATTAATTGACCATAAAGCTGTGAGTTTATTTCTGGACTCTCTATTCTGCACCATTGATCTATGTGTCTATATTTATGCCAGTACCAGGTTGTTTTGATCACTATGGCCTTGTAGTATAGTTTGGTATCAGATAGAGTGTTTTGACCCGCCGCGATTGTGGAGCAGCCCACAAAATAAGTAGAGCTGCCCAGAGTCCCTGGAGGAGAGACCAGAAACAGGATTAACCGGAGAGTCCTAGAGCTGATTTCCTCCCATTTCCGTAGTCCCCATTTGGCGAGGGCAAGCAACGCACCCACAGAGCCAAAAGCGGGGAAAACACACAATAGAAGACCCTAAACGGACCAGTGCCGCGAAGCTCGCGTGCCAGGGAGGCCAGATGAGCACGGGAGGTCGCTAATAAGCCCCCTGGTCTGGGGCAAACACACGCGAGCCCAGGCAGGTGGGGGACCCTGCCGCGCTGGTAACGCGCTCAAGGAGCTCTCGTGAGAGCGCAGAGAGATCCCAAAAAATAGCCCAGCCCTGACCGAAGGGGTCACAGAGCTGCTCCAAGCAGGAGTCAGACACAGGCATTAGACTCCTGAAAGGCTCAAACAAACAACCCAAGGCCTTATAGGGTCAACAACTGACATCATCAGAGGCAAGCCCAGAAAGAAAAGTAAAGGACAAAAATACTTAACAGACTCTCACAAAAATGGGAAGAAAAAGAAGTTCCCCCCAAATGAGTGGAAAAGGGGACTCCCCACAGACAGAGCTAAATGAAATAGAGGCAAAGGAACTCTCAGATATGGAATTTAAAACAATGGTTCTAAGGAAGCTCAATGAGCTCAGCCAGCTCAAAGAAAACTATGAGAAACTGCAGAGAAACTATCAGGATCTTACAGCAAACTATATCAGCCTGGAAAAGGACATAGAAACTATCAAGAAGACACAAGAGGATATGAAGAATACCATTTCTGAATTGAAGAACACAGTAGAAGGAATCCAAAGCAGGCTGGATGAAGCTGAGGATCGAATCAGTGAGATGGAGGA